TAGCGCAAAGATGTCTGCCTCCATGGCTGCGAGACCCGCTCCTATGTAATTATAAATAACGAATTCTAAGGCAACGCAAATATTAAGGTTAAGAGGCTAAGCTCGTAGATAATGATAAATAACATAGTTATGTATAATATATTACATTTCTGACTGTATATCCCTGTAATTATTACACACTAGCTTTAAGTCAGCATATACATTTATAAACATAGAAACATACATGTACATTCTCACATGCTTAGCAACCTGTAGCAACCTAGAGTACCCTGTTTTTTTTTTTTTTTTTAAGAAAAGCAGTTTGAATCTTTTTCTAAACACTGCATTGCTTTAATTCAACTCTAAGCTTGTTCCATACTTTAATACCATTCTTCAAAATGCTCATTCTTTTCATGTTTGTTCAAACTTGTAAGATTTTGAAACTTTAATTATCCTTGTAATTAAAGCCTCTCTCTCTCTCAGCAAATGTTTAGAGTTTAAATTAAGGACATGAAGCATTTTAGTCTGAATACTAGAAAGTTTTTTGCTCAAGAACAAAACTTAAGGTAACTGAAGGAATATCATAGCCACACAGAAACATGGTGATGGTAGTATTATGCTCAGGGTCACCTTTATTCAGAGTGAATGCTGGTCAGTAATTAGCTTTGACTCTAAATGTCTAGGTCTGTCTGTGAGAAAGCCTCACTGCGAGTGCGAGCAGGCATTGGACCAAATAATGGCTTCCCCTGAAGACAGTGGAGCTTTGAAGCGGCCTAGCCAGAGTCTAAAACTGAATTTGAGGGTCTGTAAAATCACCTAGAGGCCTGTGGATGCAAGCTAAGCTGATTATTGAGGGAACTTTGGTAAAGCAGTGTGTAAATATGGCCAGGTATTGCTGTGAGACCTCAGATCTTGAATTAAGAGCTGCTTTAACAATGTTAAAGTTTGTGCGCCTGCATGCAGCCCAGTTCTGACTTTTTAAATGTTGTTTTATATTTTAAGTTCAGGTTGAGGGGACATTTGCTGCATCATAGGTGCAAAACATTTGTTATAGTCTGCATTTTAACAGAACCATGTAGACCTTTAATATTTCCACCATTTGAGCCTTTGGATGCAGCACCTAAAGTAAAACTTCTGCTAAATTTAAGTTTAAGGACCTGTATTTATCTTTATATAAAATCTATAATGCATAATTTTTGCATGGGAACAAATTAAAATCTAACTAATGACTTTATTTTCTATAAATTACATTCATAATATTGCCGTCACGAATAACTTCAGTCATTCTTCATGTTGAAGCTGCATATGATGACATAAAATGTTGTTTTATTCCTCAAGTTTTCTCCTTTTACCTCTAGACACACCACAAAGACACAGCACTGTTTGTCAGCTTTTAATTAAAAGGCAGGTTGTCATGACAATAAATGTGCTGTGACAAATTAATTTTCATTGTGTCTGTCTGGGTGAATGGACGCAGCCCCACCCCTCATACCCCCACACCACCACCACACTCCCACATGTTCTTCCTTCCTGAAGAGAGAAATCACCGTAGGGAGGTGTGTGTGTGTTTGTATTCATTTTTAGGAGTTTCAGCACACATCTGTGATCCCCTGAGGTTGGACCAGATTGCTGTAGATGATGACTTTACCTGCATGACTGAGCCATGATCTCCTGAAACACACACATGTAATCCCAGGCAGCAGTCACAGTAACAAACAGATATTTTATGACTGGCAGGGAAGCAGCGTTTGATAAGCCTTTCACTAGATGTTCTCAGACACAGGCATGCACATGTTCTGTGGACCACAATCAGCTTGTTTTAACTCTCCAACCTCATTAATTATGAAATAAATAAATATTTATTTTATTACTTATTGATTTGGATCTATATATCAAGTGAATACTTAATCTAATCAATATGTACTATGTACAACTTAACAGGAACTGATGGATCTCTGTGTAGGGTTCCTTTGTAGTTAAAAAAGATCTGGAATTAAACCGTTTATTGGGTCTGGATTAGGGGTGTGCAAAATCGTCATGACAATGCATCGCGATTCAAATTTTGGTGATCTACTGGATCGATTCTTGATGCCAAGTATCGATTCTTAATTTAAAAAAATTAACAAATAAAATACATGAATGGTTGGCACACATCAGCCAAACCAAGTGGAATACAACTTCCAGTCCAGCAGATGTCGCTGCGGATGTGTTGACGCCCGCTGCTTTGTGTCACAAGCATTTCTGGCCGCGGGATACTGAGAAGAGCCATTCGTAAACAAAACATGGAGGACACTGAGAAAATTCGCCCCGCGGCTCCATCACATTTCAAGTCAGATGCTTGGATGCTTTAAAAACAAAGAAGGTAAAAATGAAATTGATATGACGCACATAATTTGCAAAAGGGGAAATATACATTTGAATGTTTTCATTTCATTGGTTTAAAGGACCACTGAGGCCATGTAAACGGCACTGATTATCCTTATTTTGTTATTTTAAGTTTTATGAATCCTAA